CAGCTAATTTTTGTATTTTTAGTAGAGACAGGGTTTCACCATATTGGCCAGGCTGGTCTCAAACTCCTGACCTCGTGATCCGCCCGCCTCGGCTTCCCGAAGTGCTGGGATTACAGGCCTGAGCCACTGTGCCTGGCCTTGTGACCTACTATCTACCAGAACTTCTGGCAAATACTCACTGTGTCTCAATTCTCTCATCTATAAAATTCAATGAATGACACTATTATCTATTTCTCAGACCAAATGGGATAATGCCTGTGAAGCAAGTGGGCGGTGCCTGTCACACCCCAGGTGCTTATTGCCCACCCCTGCCTCCTTAACCTCACCACAGTTCACACCCTGCCACTCCTGAGCTCCACACACCGCCTTCCTCCCAGGCCATCGCCTGAGAACTCCTGAAGCCACCTGGAATCCCTCTGCTTTGCCTGGCTCATTCCATCTCAATTTCAGATCTTTGCTTCAGGTCAGCTCCAAGGAGGACATCCTTGCCCATCTTCCTAAAATAGAGCTCTCAAAACCTAGCTCTTTTCCTTCACATCACTGGCCTCCAATTGTAAGTAGGTATTTATCTGTTTACTATGTGTCTCTATCACTAGGCTATAAACTTTGGGAGGGGAGAATTTTTTGTTTTGGTTCACTGCAAAAAAAAAAAAAAAAAAAGAATGCTTGGTATTTACTAAGCATTCAATAAATAGTTGTTGGGGAGAAAAGAATAAGTAAATGAATAAATGAAGTGTGGGAAACTGCTGAGGAAGCAACTCTCTACCTAGTAGCCAAAGCTACTGATTAAACAACGTGTGTACCCATCTGTTTTTCCCTATGTGTGTTTTGGTGGTATGCAGTGTTCTAACTAGAAGTAAATTCTTGTTTGTTCATTAATATAATTTACTTATTTTTTTTGAGCCAGTCTGACTGTTGCCCAGGCTGGAGTGCAGTAGCGCAATCTTGGCTCATTGCAGCCTCCGCCTCCCAGGTGCAAGCGATTCTCCTGCCTCAGCCTCTGGAATAGCTGGGATTACAGTCACCTGCCACCATGTCCGGCTAATTTTTTGTATTTTTAGTAGAGACAGAGTTTCGTCCTGTTGCCCAGGCTGGCTGGTCTCAAACTTCTGACCTCAAGTGATCCACCCACCTTGGCATCCTAAAGTGCTGGGATTACAGGCATGTCAGTGTGCCCGGCCTTTTATTATTATTAATTAATTAATTTTTTTTTTAAAGATGGGGTTTCACCGTGATGGCCAGGCTGGTCTTGAATTCCTGACCTCAGGTGATCCACCCACCTCAGCCTCCCAAAGTGCTAGGATTACAGGCATGAGCCACCGCACCTGGCCCATTACTATTATTTATTTTTTTAAGGCGTGCACTTTATTCAACTGGTCTCAAGTCAGTGTACAGGTAAGCCCTGTCTGCTTCCACCCACTCCCAGGGAGACCAAAAGCCTTCATACATCTCAAGTTGAGGGGAAAAAAAGGGAGAGGCGCATGAAGGCTGATCATTCAAAATAAAACAAAATTAAAAAGTATTCAGGTGAAGATTTAAAAATTTTGCATTACATAATTTACGCGAAAGCAATGCTATCACCTCCCCTGCATTTTTTTTTTTTTAATGTTTATCTACAAGATAGAGACAGGGATCTCACCATCTTGCCCAGGCTGGTCTCAAACTCTTGGGCTCCAGGGATCCTCCCGCGTGGGCTTCCCAAAGTGTTGGGATTACCAGCATAAGCCACGGCGCCCGGCCCATTAATAGAATCGGATGACCTTGTACTTTCTCAGTCAGCGGTTATTTAGTACTCACCTCCACATCGCGGTGGGGGAGCTGCATTGCATTCTCCCGAGTGACAAAGGGGGCTGGGGAGCACGGCTTGACGCCCCTACACACCCCGCAGAGGGGATTGGCGGCAGTTATGATTTCTCCAAGTGTCCGGCAGAGGGCGCTGCGGACACGCTGCTGCAGCCGCCGAGCAGGGGAGAGCGGAATGACGTTCCCATGACCGCAGTCAGAGGCATAGCGCATTCCTAGGACGCTTTCCAGCTGCTGGGTGGCTTCATAGCCCGGTAACGTTCATGGTTTCCAAGTCCCCGCTGGGTATGAGGATCTGGAGAGCTTTTGAGAAACGGATTTCTGTGTGGCACTCTCAAATATTCTGGTTCAATAGGAATTGGGCGAGCCCTGGACCCTCTTGGTTTGGGGCGCATTGGTGGGAACTCCTCAAGGGGACTGGGGAGCCGAAGGAGAGAGGAAGACATAAAGCTGCTTTCCACTCCTAACCCTGTTGCTTTTTAGCTGCGCGATCTTTCTGTGTACTACCCCCACCACAACTTGTAAAATGGAGCTAATAATAAAGATGGAGCTAGGTCAGGCCCTGTGGCTCAGGCGTGTAATCCCAGTATTTTGGGAGGCCGAGGCAGGAGGATCAGCTGAGGCCAGGAGTTCCAGACCAGCCTGGCCAACATGGTGAAACCCTGTCCCTACTAAAAATACAGGAATTGGTCATGTGTGTGATGCACCTGTAATCCCAGCTACTCGGGAGGCGGAGGCACGAGACATACTTGAGCTTGGGAGGTAGAGGCTGCAGTGAGCTGAGATCAAGCCACTGCACTCCAGCCTGGGCAACAGAGCCCAATCCCGTC